GAAACTGGACCATTTCCTTACACCACACACAAAAATAGACTCCAAATGGTTGAAAGACCTAAACGTGAGACAGGAGTCATCAAAATCCTAAAGGAGAACACAGGCAGCAACCTCTTCGACCTCAGGCGCAGCAACTTCTTCCTAGAAACATTGCCAAACGCAAGGGAAGCAAGGGCAAAAATGAACTATTGGGACTTCATCCAGATAAAAAGCTTTTGACAACAAAGAAACAGTCAACAAAACCAAAAGACAACTGACAGAATGGGAGAAGATATTTGCAAATGCATATCAGATAAAGGGCTAGTATCCAAAAATATCTGTAAAGAACTTTTTAAACTCAACACCCAAAGAACTAATAATCCAATCAAGAAATGGGCAGAAGACATGAACAGACATTTTTCCAAAGAAGACATCCAAATGGCCAACAGACACGTGAAAAAGTGTTCAACATCACTCGGCATCAGGGAAATCCAAATCAAAACCTCAACAAGATACCACCTCACACCAGTCAGAATGGCTAAAATGAACAAGTCAGGAAACGACAGATGTTGGCGGGGATGTGGAGAAAGGGGAACCGTCCTACACTGTTGGTGGGAATGCAAGCTGATGCAGCCACTCTGGAAAACAGTATGGAGGTTCCTCAAAAAGTTGAAAATAGAGCTACCATACAACCCAGCAATTGCACTACTGGGTCTTTACCGCAAAGATACAAATGTAAGGAGTATGGTCACCCCAGTGTTTATAGCAGCAATGTCCACAATGGCCAAACTGTGGAAAGAGCCAAGAAGTCCATCAACAGATGAATGGATAAAGAAGATGTGGTATATATGTACAATGGAATATTATGCAGCCATCAAAAAACATGAAATCCTGCCATTTGCAACAACGTGGATGGAACTAGAGGGTATTATGCTAAGCGAAATAAGTCAATCAGAGAAAGACATGTATCATATGATCTCACTGATATGAGGAATTCTTAATCTCAGGAAACAACCGGAGGGTTGCTGGAGTGGTGGGGTGTGGGAGGGATGGGGTAGCTGGGTGACGGACATTGGGGAGGGTATGTGCTATGGTGAGCGCTGTGAATTGTGTAAGACTGTTGAATCACAGATCTGTACCTCTGAATCAAATAATACATTATATGTTTAAAAAAAAAGATAGTAGGAAAGGAAAAATGAACAGGGGGAAATTGGAGGGGGATATGAACCATGAGAGACCATGGATTCTGAGAAACAAACTTAAGGTTCTAGAGGGGAGAGGGGGTGGGGGGATGGGTTAGCCTGGTGATGGGTATTAAAGAGGGCACGTATTGAATGGAGCACTGGGTGTTATACGTGAACAATGAATCATGGAACACTACATCAAAAACTAATGATGTAATGTATGGTAATTAACATAACATAAGAAAATAAAATTAAAAATAAAATATTTTAAAAAGTAATAGTTTAAAAAAACAAAAGACATTTTTACATTAATAGAACAGTTGTTTGTAAAAAGAGATTTTCAGAAAGTGAATAAATTACCTTTTTCATCTTTTACCTGAGTTTGTTTAAATGGCAGGCTTACATTCTTTTCTCATTACATGCATGGATACCTCAAGAAGTGAGCTAGAATCTTCCTTGAATAGTGAAGTTTACTCAGATAAAATTTATGTTTTAATAGGCCTATTTATTTTCTGACCATATGCTTAGAGTGTCTCAGATTCCTTTTTTCTTTTCTTTTTTTTTTACACTGCTTTGGGCCATTGTACAACTGTCTGTCATCTCAGAAATTTTTATACTTTGTTCTTGTTTTATTTATTTTACTTTTTATTGAAATATACTTGACACATGCTATCATGTAAGTTTAAAGTGTACAACATGCTGATTTAATACATTTATATATTTCAGTATGATTGCCTTTGAGGGGTTAGCTAATGCCTTTATCAGGTCACATAATTATCATTTCTTTTTTTAGTGGGAATAAGTAAGATCTAATCTCTTAGCAGATTTGATATTTATAATACAGCATTGTTGTCTGTAATCACTATACTGTGCATTCAATCTCCAGGACTGATTTTTCAACTAGTTGCAAATATATTTCTTAATTAGTAGATCATAGTATTACTTCACTACATTGATGTCTAGTTATCTTTAAAATAGTCATTTACTGTTTGTTTTCCACACTGACATACATCGCATCTAAAGCTGTGTGTACCTTTTTCTGGGGCTGCTTCAGTTGCAGATGGAAAGGTCCTACGGGGAAGAATTAGATTTGGTTTAACAGCTTTTGTTTAGCACCTGGGAGAGCTCCCCATATAATCAGGTCTAATGAAGGTCACTTTGAAAGGTATCATTCTGTAATTTTCAAAAGACTTTCACACATTAGTCCTTTTTGATATTCAAGAAATTAATCGACGCACACAGTGACACGTGACTCTTCTGACAACTTCAGTAATCAATAACATCCAGAGAGGCCAAAAGAAAGAAACCATATAGGAGATGTAATAAAATCTATGCATTAGAATCCTACAAGGAGCTTTGGGGGGTTCATTCAGAGTATTTATTTATGTTATCATGCCATCTAGCAAAAATGCTCATTGTTTTCCCCACCTGCCACAGATTTTGAAGCAGAAAATTAAAAGAGGCAAAGGGTCCTGTTGAGGGCAAGCTCTAAGACAGCCCAAGAACTGGAAGGTGGCTCCACAGGCAGAAACTGAAAAGAGAAACAGGCATAACAACCAAACATCAAAATGTAAAAACAACACGGATCTGAAACCCCCTCATGTAAGCTGCACACAGACCTACACACCTTGATTAGCACTGAGGAGAGCCCCACACAGCAGCCCAGCACAGAACTGATGAAATGAGGACCCCGAGTTGTCAAGAGAAGTGCCCTGACAGCTGCCATCTTCTGTTCTAGAAGGATGATGTACATCAGAAATGGTTAATACTGTTGTTGGTATAGCAGAAGTGAGAGTGGTCTAATCTACTACCCTTGTGTGTTTACTCTGTTAGCTACAACCCCAGAAGCTTCCACCTTGGGAAATAGGATGAATGTTGCCAGGTTTCTACAGGCTCACCCTCCGGTGCCATTAACTAAACATCTCCTCTTGGGGTGGATATGAGATTGGTACCTTCAAGGCTCACCCCAGATGCTTACTCCCAAGTGGAATGATGGAGAATGAAGCAAGGTGAAATCTGGTAGTCTGCACATAGACATTTGAGGTGTGATTCTATCTGAACAAGAACTGATTCCCAACCCAGAGACAGCCAGGGACAAGTGAGGCATATGGAGAATCAATACTTAAAGGATATGTCACTCACCTTTTCATCCCCAGCACCCAACATGCTGCCAAGTGTTGGCATTGAATAAATGCATCATGAGTGATTGATTACCTCACACCACTGAGATCCATTCTGGACACCTGTTGCTTCCTCTCCTGATATTCCCACCTTGTTGTTCATAAATGAGTCTTGAAACGTTTACCTCTGTTCCTAAGAAATACGATCATTTGTGTGTTCGAGTGGAGGGGGAGAAATACCATTTTACTGCACCATGATCCCCTTACCATAGTTTTTGATATTTTAATTAAAACCAAAAAAACATGACTGGCTTTTGTTCAGCTCTTATGTTATGTAGAGAAAGTATATGTTTTACCATACATACTATTTCTGAATGGCAACCCCAATGTTTTATGGTCCTCTCTTTTTTTAATCCCAAAATAAAAGGTTTAACTATTTGCCATGTTCTTTTCTAGCGGAAGATACTAGTCTGTCTCAAAAGAAGAAGGTCACAGTGGAAGATCTCTTCAGTGATGATTTCAAAATTCACGACCCTGAGGCTAAGTGGATAAGTGGTAAGTCCTGAGTCCTGTGTGCACACAGGAAGCTACTTTTCCGCAGTTTGGGTTTGGTCTGTTAGACCATGTTCTCTCTTTGGCTTTAGAAGTGGATGCCCAGAGCTCTTGCTGTGATAATCATCTCATTATCATTCTAAAAAAAATGTGGATCTGGTAAAATGGGGCTGTTTCTTCGTGAGAAGTGGGTTCTCTTTGTCACCTCCCCGAATCATTCTTTCTCAGATGGAGATGTGAGCTGTTGCTAAGCAACAGGACCAGGCAGAGATACAGGCGAGCTCCCTCACTCTCCATGTTCTTTTTTCCCTTTTGTACGGCCCTGCTTTCACTCCCCGCTAGATAGAGGGGCCAAAAGGAACTCAAAGGCTTCTTCTCGAATGCCAGTAAATGAACGAGAGTATGGAGCCTGGTGCACATTTGAGAATAAATTTATTTTCTTCTTGCACTTTAGTCTGGATATAATCTACTTTTCTTGTTTGGGGGATGTGGTTAAACAACAAAACAGAATTGGAGGCAAAAGGCAAATGTATGTTCATGATGCATTTTTTGGTCCAGGACATAATCCATTTCATCCACTTGTGGCTGAACTAATTTCCAAGTGTAGTCATGGGAGAGAAGGTGTGAATGACCATGCACCATCCTCTGCAGGCTTTGCTGCCTCCCCCTTAAGTAGTCCAGCCAGCCTACCTCTCCTGCTGTCTCCATGAATGTGGATTTCATTGAGGGATCTTCAGTGGGATGCACTTGAAACTTAATCCTCAGGTCAGAGAACCTTTATGGTGGAATGCTGGAGGTCTAGTTCAAATCCTGGCTTTTATAATAAATGAGGCCCAGAGAGGTTAAGTGATTTTTTTTTGAGGTCACACAGCTTGCCAGTGGCACAGATGGTTGGAAGCCTGTCTCCTGACTTCCCATTTAGTGCTCTTCCCACTACTGTCTTGTTGAGTGACACAGTGTTACTGTGTTTTCTTGCTGTCAGGCTGCTTCTGAAACGCTGCTCATGCCTCACAAACTCAAAAATCAACTAGCAATGGCTCTTCGCCATTTGTCTCCAACTAGGGCACTAGCTTCTCTTTTATCCTCAACTGTGGCCTCAGTATTCGTTTCTGATTCTTAGATTAGCTTATTTAAAAATGAGAGAAGTAGATGGAGCTCAGAGGGAATATATTTTATACAAAGGAATTAGGGAGAAATAGGAGCAGGGTGCTGGGAATAGCAGTTGGGGGGGACCCACAGAAATCCAGAATGTGGAGAGAGCCAAGGTCTTTTTGTTTGATGGAGGAAGTAATTTTACCTTTTGTGTTGAGGGAGACTTAGCACTTGCTCTCAGTTTGTGTTGACCCTTTGCATAGGCAGGAGGAAAATACCAATAGCATACTCCGGGCTCAATCTTGGAAATGAAAGGTGATTACTCTCTTCTTAAAGATTGTGAAGTCATATTCTAGAAACAGAGCTAACAATGAGTGACCAGGCATTTCAGTCTTAAAGAATGGCTAGGGGTTTACTAATTAGAGAAAGCAGAGAATAGACCCCTGGGGAATGTAAGGCTAGAATGTTAGTCTGTGCTAAACCTTAGTGAAGAAAAGAAAGTGGAGAGAGAAAGAGGAGAGAAGGGAGGGGGAGGAGAGGAAAACTGGTAGAGAGGCAAAATCTAGGGATAAAACAAATTGGAGACAAGGAACACTGAACCATAGCTGTGGGGTTCAGAGCAAGTCAGAAGAAGCCCTGCAAAGACTCCATGAAGTGCTAAAATAATATTCCCATGTCTGTTTATTAGGGTGCCCATAGTTGCAGACTGGGCCTAAATCAGCATTCTATAAGCAAAAACCAAAATTTATTAAAAAAAAAAAAAAGCCTAGATCTGGAGTCACAAGTGCTGGTAAGTTTCTGCTGGAACTATGTTGGTTCTAAGGAGCTTATATCTCATGAGCTAATTCACACTGCAGAGGTGTGGAGCTGGGCCAGAGGTGTGCTGGCTCTCTGGCCAGAGGAAACAAGCCAAAGTTTCTTTATTGGCAAAATTGGGAGTTGATACAAGCAATTGAGAAATGGCCCCGTGTCCGGCAGAAAATGTCCAGCCTACATGTTTGGCAGGTTAATTCTATTCATGAAGACCACCTGCAATTCTAAATGAAGTGCCTTTGGTGTCCAGCAGCTTTCTTAGGAGTACTCTCCCTTTGTAAATGTACACATCCAGTGTGACATTTTGCTACAAAGTAACCAGCAGTCAGGTTTCTCCAAAGCTAGGCACCATCCAGAGGGTAAGCGAACATGACTGTTTTTCTCCCTACACTCCTCTTAGCTGTCCTCCCACTGGTCTTCCATGCGTTCCTCTTCCTGATCTTCCCCTTTCTCCCTGATCCCCAAAATGTAATAGCTTAAAATGGATGAAGTAGCTTTACAGTGGTTAACTGAGACTTTATAATTGATTCTTCACAAATACCATAAAGAATTTATCCATTTCTTTAATATCACAAGGCTAAATGTGAAGATCCAGGGAAAGATTACCACAGTCATAGGATTATCAAATGATGTGAAGCTGGGTGTGCTTTAGAAATTATCAGAACATTGCTTCATTCAGTTAGTGTTTACTGAGTGCCCACAGTGCAGCAGGCAAAGGACACAGTGTTGGGCCCAGGGAGCTGTTTCTTACTGGTAGCCTTGAGAGTCACCTCTGTCATCTACCATACCTTCTACCCCACCATCACCACGACAGTCTCCTTTCTCTCCTCCTCTTCTTCCTTTCTCCTCTGTTCCTCCTCTCTTCTTCTTCATCATTATCACCACCACACCATCATCATCACCATCACCATCATCACCATCATCACCATCACCACCATCACTACCATCATCCCCATCATCATCAACACCACCATCATTATCATCACCATCACCGTCATCACCACCATCACCACCATCACCATCATCACCACCACCATCACCACCATCATTATCATCATCACCACCACCATTGTCGCCATCATCACGATTACCATCATCATCACCATTACCATCACATCATCACATCATATGACATCAGTACCACCATTATCATCCTTACCACTACCATCATCATCACCATCATCATCACATCACATCACATCATCATTACCATCATCATCACATCACCACCATCATCATAACCTACTGGGGGTTTCCTATATCTTATGCTCTAGGCTAAGTGCTTTGTACATATTAAATCATTTAATTCTCACAACCATTATTCCCATTTTACAGATGAGGAAACTGAGGCTTATGGTGTTCAAATAACTTGATCAATATCACAGTTAGTAAGTAGTAAAATTTGAATTTGAACCTAGGTCTCTCTGGTCTTTAAAAATTGTGCTACATTGGATCGAACCCAGGTTTCTGGTGTCCAGCCATTTTCTTTCACAACCTCACTAGCAACATAGTGTGTTTAATCCAAAACTATAAGTTGCAAATATTTCAGAATTATTGTCATCCCTTAAATTCTCTAGTCTAGCTCTCCTTATTCCCATGATATCAAGCTAACAGAATACCTAAGTGATAAAGAAAGTGGAGTAATTCCCCATGGAGAAAGTAACTTGATGGTTGTATTTTTATTATTATTTTTTAGTGCTCATCAACCACTAAAGATAACAAGTGTAGCTTAGTTTTAATATTGGAGTTAATAGTCTAGAACCTGATACACTTTATCAAGAGGAAATTTATCAGGTTAAGAGTTAAATTTCTCCTCACCCATTTTTACACTAGAGGCTTGCTCTAATCTACATTTTCTGAGAATTATTGGGTATAACAGTCTTCATACTCTCTGCCCTCACATATTGGTTGCAACCAGATGAGGTCTGTGGATCAGTAGAATGGACACATTGAGCACCCCCTACAAAGAAGGAGGTTCACACGTCCTCAAACTGGCCACAGTGCAGTCTCTCCACACACTCGCTTGGTGGAGGGAATTCTCCCTTCTTTTGTAGTCACCACATTGCCCTGCTCAGCCTTCTGGATCCCTTGCTGTGCTGTGCTAGGATTCCATGATGTGAGGGGGTCAGGCTTTCACCCCAGCACCCTCCGAAAGTCCTCCATGCAGTCCCCACTAACCTCCAGGTAGCTGCCTCCCATGGTCATTTCTCAGATCTCGTCTTCCTTTACCTGTCAACTGATTACTCCCTCCACCTGGGTGGACTTCCCCCTGACCTGTAGGTCATCATATTCTCTTGGCTTTATTTCGACAGCAGGGGTGACTCCTTCTCAGGCTCCTGTGCTGCTTCTTGCTCTTCTCCCTGACCTTTCATGGTGGTGGGTCCCTGGGCTCAGCCTCTGGTCCTCCCCACTGAATATCTGCACTTCCTCCCTCAGGGTTTTCATTGAGTTTCATGACGTTAAGTATCCTCCATCTACTGATGTCTCCTGAATGTGTGTCTCCACACTGCATCTCTCCCGAAGTTCTCAGCTGTCATCACAACCTTCAGCTTCAAACCGCAAATCTGAGTTCTTGATCATCCCCCCACACACACACACACAACAAAAACCAAAAAATAACCCCTGCCGTATCCACTGCTTCTCCCAAGTCAGTTCATGGGAAGTCCATCCTTTTAGCAGAACAGGCTAGAAAGCTCAGAGTCATCCTTTGCCCTGCTCTGTCTCTTGTACCTCATATCTGATCCATCAGGAACTGTGCCAGCCCCACCTAACATACTCAGCGCCCGTCCAGACTCAGCCAGACATCCGGGTTCATGATGCCATGCCACAGGCAGATTTGGCAGCGGTCCCCCTGGAAGGATCCAGACCAGAGACAAGCATGCTGCAAGCAAGACCGGGAGCAGGGCCCTCCAGTGGCTACTCAGATAAAGGCTCTTTCTGGTGCCAGGAGAAGGGGTCACCTAAGGGACCGGGGTGGAGTTTTTATGTTTCCAACTTCTAGATATCTGGATTCCTCACACCTCTCATTTCTTCTCACTGTGGGCACCCCTAGGGGAAATCATTCACGCCCAGGACTGCGGTTACTATTCGTGTCAGTG